CTCCATACTAAATCATTTCCATAAAAACTCAACAAGGGACAAAATTTTTTTGGTTGGTTGGTTGGTGAATTTTTTTAAAGAGTCAGTACAACATGCTGTTTTTAACTTACCAAATCAGAGAATGGGGTCAAAACCCCAAATCCCCTTCCCTGAAGGATGAGACTTTATACATCTGAAAACTCTAAACTGCTTGTGGAAATTTAGGGACCTGCTCTGTATCTGGATATGTCAAGAGTCCCCCAGGTATAAATTAAAACATCCAGAAGGCAGTGTGAAAGGTTGGAGAAGTAGCAGGAGGTTAAAGTATCTTTAAGGTAATTGCTGCCTGCTGTAAGAGATATTTCCAGCCTCTGGAGTGAAAGGGTTGAGTGAGCTAAATCCTTTCAAAAAGGTTCTGGCCTAAAGCAGGTCCCAGCCTCCCCAGGCCATTTGGCCCTTGGGCTGTGATTGGGACCAAGATCTAGAAAGGGGAACCCTATAATGGGGCCCAAGGAGAAGATACTGGCCCTCATTTAGCATGCTGCCCACTTTCTGTCACAGGTTCTGTGTCTATTCTCACTGTGGTATCTCCAGATCTAACATGGCACCTGGCACCAATAATTGCTCAATAAATTCTAGATGAGTCAATGCCTAAAGAGTTGTTAAACTAGTAACAGTGACAACAGAAGCATTTGCAAACTGCCTAGGGCCCCAGCTGGTGGTTTTAAAAAAAGAAAGGGTTGGGCAAAAGGAATATCCATAGTTCTCTAGCTATAGAAATGCCATTTTCTTATTGCTATCATGATAATATTGCAGCCTAAAGGTGCAGTAGCTCAGAGACTCACCTCTTAAACAGCTACTTAAATCTAAGAGTGAAATTCCACAAAAAAAATAAAATAAAATAAAGCTAGTCGTGAAGGCTACTAAATCATTGGTTTGAAAGATGCACATTTCACAACACGAACATATCATAGTAGAATTATAATTTTTAATTTTTAGATTAAAAAATATAGGCCATTGATTCAGATTTCTGAAATCTTTAACACTATTTTCTGTGAAACTAGGAATATTTATTCAATTAGGTTGTAATTCTCAGTGAAATCAACTCCATAATTTTTTAAGGGACAGTTTGTTCTACTCATAAGTAGGGATTATGGGTATTGTGTGTATTTTGAGTTTTTTTTCTCCCCCGCAGTACTGGGGCTTGAACTCAGTGCCTCGCACTTGGTAGGCAGGCGCTCTGCCACTTGAGCTATTCCATCAGCCCAGTTTTGAGGGTTTGGGTATAAAGAGTTTTTAAGAGCTTTTATACTTTCCTACTTCTAGATGGATGTGACATGTCCTGACCGCCTTCTGACAGTGTTTGTCTAAATAAAATGTTGTGGGGAGGGGGCATATAGGAGAACGTGAAGGGTGTGAATTTAAGATATATTGTGAACAATTTTGTAAATGTCACAATGTACCGCCAGTAAAACAATAATATAATAATAAAAAAATTAAATACATAAATAAAACTTTGTTTTAGAATGGGTTTTATCAAAGTAGCCCTTGTCAAAGAAGGTAGCTCTTTCTTTAAACTGTTAACACTACAAAAATCCATATACAAAGTTCATTTAATGGTTATTTGTGTAAGCAGATTTAAAGAGACACAAAATAGTTCCACATTTTCTTTACTAATCAAGCAAAACACAAAACCAATACAATTAGTGCAAACAATGCTGTGCACGCTAGAACATTAGTGCCATCTGGAGGACACATTTGGAACTACTGTAGAACAAACACGTAATGTTTTGAAGAATTAAGGTACAAATTATGAGCAGGTGGGCAACAGAGGCAGCAATACCTTCATTTCAAGGCCCTGAACCACTACCATTTCAAGCTTCTAGTAGATGACTCTTGTGATATTTCTCTTGAGATACTTTCAGCCAAAACTGGAAATGAAACTCTAACATCTTAAGAGCATTATAATTAGCTCATCAGAGCTGAGTGCAGTTGGTGCATGCCTATATTCCCAGCTACCTGGGAAGATGAGGTGAGAGAACCTTGAGTTCCAGACAAGCCGGGGCAAAACAGTAAGACCCATCTAAAGAAATTATGGGTCAGGAAGAACTAAGCAGGAGAGACAACAGGAAAATGCACCCCCAATTTGCTGTGTCCTGCTATCCCCTCTCCCTATCCTAATTAGAGGATCAGACAAATCCATCAGGATTTTTATTCAACAGAAGATGGAAATGACAGTCTAGTTTTATCAAAGGTATTTACATTTAATAGGTTGAAAGTCTTAATTAAAACAAAGAGAGAGGGAGAGATTACCAGAATTTCTAGTGGATGTCAACTGTTGGTGAGGCTATCATGGAATAAGATAGCCATCTCATTTATTAAATTCTCAATTATTCCTTTTAAAGTAGCTATGTTCTTTACTGATACACTCATTTTAGTGAAAATGTTTTTAAAGGAATATTAACCCCTCAAAAATCTAATTAGTTAAAATCATCTGTACTTCCTATGTTCATGTATTTATAATTACACACTAGTCTTTTGAGAGCATATCATAGTCTTCTATCTCAATGCCTCTCAAATATCTTTTTTTTTTTTCATTTTTCTTTTATTATTCATATGTGCATACAAGGCTTGGTTTATTTCTCCCCCCTGCCCCCACCCCCTCCCTTACCACCCACTCCACCCCCTCCCGCTCCCCCCCTCAATACCCAGCAGAAACTATTTTGCCCTTATCTTTTTTCAAATATCTCTTATTTGAAAAAAAAAACAACATTTTTCATAGGTTGGGGAAGTAGATCAGTGGAAGAATGCTTGCCTAGCATGTCTGAAGCCTTGGCTTCAATTCCCAGATCTGAAAAAAAACTTTCTATTTTTCTTCTTTTTAATTTCCAATCACTTGAGGGTCAATACGTGTGTAAATTAAAATAAAAATTGTATGGGCAACATCAAAGTTTAGTGCCTCTTTCTGCCACTTGCAGTGCCACAGCTACATCATCAACAGAATGCAGACTGACACTGGTCTGAGGATGCACTGAGGATCACTGCTTCTCCTCTTGTTCTTCCCTGAAAAAACAAAACAAAACAAAACCTGGATAGGGTTGGGGCATGGCTCAAGTGGTAGAGCAACTGCCTAGCAAGTGCAAAGCCCTGAGTTCAAACCCAAATACCACCTCTTTCTCTCCCCTCATTCCAAAATACATATTCTAAAGAAATCTGTCCACTAGTACCACCAGTTACTTTCAAGAGCTTGATTCGTAACTTCCTCCCTTCTTTCTTCTTATTTCACTTCTTCTGCCAACTTTTAAAAGAATATAGTTTTTGAATCCATAATAATAAACATGTCAAACACTTTTGAGTCTCCATTTTAAATTGATCTTCTACTTGCAACATTTTCACATATCCCTCCACACTTGTTTTCAGTTCAACTGAGTTCACTTCTGCTAATTTTATTTGCTGTGAATTTGGCCTAGATAACCAGAAGCTTGTATAAGACACTTAGGTAGCATAAAAGTCCAGATATTTGAAGATTAACAAAAAATCCATTTAGCAGAACAATGTAGCTGACAAGACACATGCTTTCTTGATTTAAAGATTATAGGAAAGCTTCCAGTTGAATTTTTTTTTGGCCAAAATACAGATTGAAAGTCTTTTGATTGATAAGTAATTCTAGCTTTCTGTGGTTCTTTCATTCACGAGTTAGAAAGCAATGAATTCTTTTTTCTTAACTCAATAACCCAAAACAGGAAATTCCACGTGTGCATATATTAAGTAAAGTCCTCATACGTTTCCATTTATAAGGCACAAAACTCACAAATCTCCCAGGTAAAGGAAGAAAACAAAGATTTGAAGACAAGAAAATAAACTAATAATAGAAGAGGTTTATCAAACTGGAGTTTAAAGAAATTACTTCCCCTTTTAGTAAACAAGGGATCTCATACTGACAGGAAACATAGCCTGCAAAGAGAGAGTTTCTCAGCTTTTCCTGTGACGCAGCCTCCTTCACTGGAAGCAGAGGTCAGTCCTCAGAGAGGGCTGCGTTGCCAAAACACATCAATTACAAGCACCACCTACCCCATAGAAGTTGCTGGGCAGCAATGTTCCAACAGCATTTTTTGGCTAGAGTGCCTCATTTTTACTCGAACGAGCTTTCAGGAACTAACCACAGTGAGAACACGTTCGTCTGTCCTGGAACGTGACTATTTTAAGGGTTCTGCTCTAAGCTGAGGCAGAATTCCCTGCCTGAGGATCCTGAATTGGGGCAACTATGTTAGTCCTTCATGGGACTGCATCTATATAGAAGGTTGGACCTTGGGTTCCTCTTGAAATAATCAAATCCTGAGAGGGTCTTTAGAACCAGTTCACCCTACGAAGGGCTTTAAAACATGCAAAAGATCCTTTAAGTAACCCCAGATCTCCCAGTCTGTAAAGCAGCCCTAATAGCTCTTGAGTAATCCTGCATTCCACAGGTAGAAAATAGAAGGGTTCCATGACACCAAAAGAGCAAGGTATTCATGTTTGCTGGCTGTACCTCCTGGTGGCTTTTGGCACTGTTGTACTTTCTAGTACCATTTACATTAGTAGTATTATATGAGAATAAGCTTCCTGAATGCTCATATGGCTCCAAGCACTTCCTGGAAGTATAACTGTTTCATAGTCCTTTAGATTACCATGCAAAGTAGGGATCAGTGTGAACAGCACTTCAGACAAAACAGCCAGCCAGACAGGTGTCCTGAGAAAAGGGCCAGTGTTACAGTGTACAAGAGAGGAAAGATCAGAAATTAGATAAACTGAGTAATTCATTATGTCCAAGGGTTTCACTGAATCATCTTGAATTCTGATCTTTCCACCCTAGACAATCTGAAATATAAATAATACAGGATCCTTGGGTCAATTTATTCCATTATCAGTCTAGCATTGTAAGATAAGGTGAGAACTAGACACCTTTTCAGTCCAATTTTTACTATCTATTCTGTTCTAAGACTTGCCTTTAGAAGTCATAGAATTCTGCTAAATTTCAGGCATGAAGATGGTTCTCTTTAGTTTGATGGCTCATGAATATTAGCCAAGATCCTTTCCTCGTAAGGATATGACCCAGAAGGAAAAGGAATATTCTTTTTAACAACAAAACTCTTGAATCCTTTGGCTTTGAAATACAGCAGCCATAGCATATCCTTGGAAATACGTATTAATTTAAAAATCAACCCTTACAAACTGTTGTACCACGTTTTCCCAAATCACAACAGGCCACCTCCACACCTTTCCCCAGCTGCAGATCTCAGGAATCTTTCTTAGTCAGTCTCGCCTTGACTTTGTGTCTCAGGAGGGATGCAGTTGCCGCACTGCAGGCAGCCAAGAAGAAGAAAGAAAGACAGGCTGTATAGACAGACAGGGGACCATGGCGCTGCAAAAATACCTCACGCCGCCCCTGGTAGTCCAAGAGGATGGCCTCCAGCTGGGAGAGCGTGCAGATAGAAAGGAAGGCGTGGAAGATTTGATGTCCGTGACCCACAATGTCACAGGAACCAGGGAAGTACTTCTCAGGTACTGGGCAAGAGAAGAAGTAGGCGCTGACCAGGAAGAAGAGGATCTGGAGAGTGTGATACCAGGCTGCCTGTTCCTGGCAGCCGGCCAGGTGACAGAGCGCCACTCGGTGTGCCACAGGGCTGATGTCCAGGATGAAGGCCAGCCCTGCGGGTACCACTTGACAGATCTTCCTCATCACTGGATAAGGTCTTCGGTAACGATACTTGGCGTAGCAACAGCCTGCACAGGACAACCAGCCACAGAAGGCAGCTGCTGGTAAGAAGAAAAGCCAGAACCGTTCATACCAGGCCTGGTCAGAGCTGTAGAAGAAGTGGGCCAGTGCACTGCCATACTGATAAACACTGACGCCAACATAGTCCACAAAGTAGAAAGTGTAGTGGGAGAGCTCTGACTTGGACTGCAGCAGGTGGGCCAGAAGGCTGCAGGTGAGGTAAGTGATGGAGGACAGGATAAAGAGGAGCAGGGGCAGGGAGTGGGGAGAGGCCCATGGCAATGCCTCAGCCTCAGCGAAGGCCCAGAATCGCAAAAGGACGGCCAGGGCCGCCAGCAAGTGGGTCCAGACGTTGACCACCTCGTTGTGCTTCTGAAAGAGGCTGAAGAAGTAGTAGCGCCACTCGTGACCCGTGGGGCGGTAGCCCGCGCGGATGTAGGGCTCCCGGAAGAGCTGGGGCACATCCGTTTCCGGGACCGTGCAAGGCATCTTGGGAAGACCGTCCTCCAGGATCTTGGGCAGGCGCCGCAGCTGCTGCCCGCTCACCGACAGGGTGCTCAGGCGTTCCAAGATGGCGGTCGTCATGGCAGCGGTGGGCCGGCCACCACGGTGTGGTGACAGGGATGCGACCTGAAGAAAAGAAAGGAGAATTCGCAATAGTGCCATGAGATGCAAACGCTGCCGAGGCGGCCATGTGACTATGACTTTTCTTAGTGGAACATGGCTTGTTAGTGCAGTAGGGCAAGCATGGCTTCTCTGGGTCTCATTTTCTTCATCTGTAGAATGATGGAGTTGGAACAAGATCCTTTACCGCACCAGCATTCTGATTCTGTCTACTATCCGCCAAAGTATAGTAATAATGGGAATTATATATATAATGGGAATGTTAGCTACCCTAAAATGATACAATGACACCAATTATTTAGTGATAAACAAGCGTTAATGACAATGAATCCCCCCCCCCAACTAGTGCATGCTAATAAAAATACTTTGGGGAATAAACAAATAAGATTTAATAATATCTAGAAGGTAAGATTACTTTTAAAGTCTATAGGGTTTCCTAGCTATAATTGAAATGAAATAGTCAGGTTTGAAATATAACTATGTTGAAGAATAAGGAATTGCCAGGTCATCGGTGGCTCACACCTGTAATCCTAGCTACTCAGGAGGCAGAGATCAGGAGGATCGAAGTTTGAAACTAGCCTGGGCAAATAGTTCCACGAGACTCTATGTGGAAAAAACCCGTCACAAAAAGGGCTGGTGGAGTGGCTCAATGTGTAGGCACTGAGTTCAAGTCCCAGTACCACAAAAAAAAATTTTTTATAAATATTTATGTTACTGATGATAGCCTGTTTCTTTAGCACCCATCAAATCTTTAACTATCCACTAATTTCACAAATAACAGGAAAGTCTGAAGTAAGCACTTGAGTGAACGTCAAATTAAAGAAAGGCAAGTCATTTGTTAATTAGGTGGGGAAAGATCAATGTATATTCTGGGATATCTTAACAGTGTGAGGCAAAGTCATGTCTTGTAAAATGGGAATGTTAGCCACCATGTTTGACAACTCATCCATGTTCTGGGCCTATCCATTACTGCAGTTCTTCTAAGGGTATGTAGAAGCTCAGGCACGCTATCCCTCTGCTGGCTGACTCTGGAACTACTGCTTAGCTTTGTTTTGTTTTGATTGTAGATGAACTAATGCATTCTGATGATCATTTTCTTTCTCTTTTCAACACTTTGTTTCTCTTACTGGCTGACTCTGAATCCTTAATACTTTTCTCTTACCTGGCCTAAATTTAGCATACAATCTAACTTCAAAGATTGTTCTTTTTCTTTCTTTAAGCTCCAGAAAGTAGGTAGTTTTGGATTTGCCTGTACTGGGCAATTAAATCTGTATATAATGAATCTCAGGCCTCAGAAATGCTTAACCTCCACTTGGTATTCCTAGGTGACAGATAAACCAGGTAGCATAGCAATTATTTCATAAAGCATTTAATAAAATTGATGAAGAAACTGAGGCTTAGAGATTTCTAATTGACCCAACCAAGGTTACCCACTAAGTGGCAAAACTCGAGGTCTCCGTGAACTTCTTTCACATTTTACTAACTTTCATGCTCTACGTTTTTTATTTGATTGGATATTTTTCCTCTTTTAAGTGTGAAGTAGAAAGAAAAAAGTTTAGGAAATATAAAGTAAAGAAGGTAACTCTTTGCCTCAGTTTCTTCATCTGTAAAATGGGGGGTAATAATTTTGCACTTTGTATGCATTGTTGTGATCCATCAGACAGTGGTCTACCAGGAATGGGCTATGAGCTAGGGCTCAACATAGGAATTAAGATACCAAGAGAAAAGTATCAAGGATTACAGAGTCAATCAGCAAGAAAAACGCAGAAAGAGGGACTGTAGAAGAACAAAAGAAAATGATCATCAGAATACCTTACTTAATCTTTAAAAAGAAAGGAGAAGTGGAGAGAGGAGGGGAAGGGAAGAGAGGAGAAGAAGGCAGTGTTCCTACTATTCTGAAAGCAGAGGGGTCAGAGTGCCTAGGCTTCTACAACAAGAGGGAGAGAATAGGGGGAGGAAAGGGGAGAAGGGAATGGGGGAGAAAGAGGGAGAAAGGAAGTGGGGAGGAAAAGGGAGAAGAAAGGGGAGAGGGAGGGAGGAGAGAGGGAGGAAGAGGAATGGGGGAGAGGAGAAAAGCAGTGTTTCTACTATCTTGTCAGCAGAGGGGTCAGAGTGCCTGGGCTTCTACAACTGACCTTAGAGGAAGAATTACAAGAGTGAGCCTGGGAGATAGGATGGCTTTTCAAGTTGTTATTGGTAATGTACTGTCTAGGGGACCTGGGGTTGGTGGAGCTCTATTCTTTAGAAACAGGCTTCTGTAATCAGAGTCCTAGACTGGAGGCCTGAATTGGGGTTTTCCAACATGTTAGGTCCAACCACTCACCCAAATATGTCAATTAAAGAGACATGAAATGAGTGATGGAGGGGGTGAATTCAACTGATATATTGTGAGAATTTTTGTAACTGTCACAATGTACCCCCAGTACAACAATAATAAAAAAAAGTATACATAAAAAAAAAAAAAAGACAAGTAACGGTGAAGGACAGAGAAAGAAGATTTATTTATGGAGTGGGGTAGGGGGAGCTGCTATGAGAAGAGGAAGAACAAGTATTTCAGCCCATCTTCCAGGTACTGACAAGAGCTTTAGGTTGAAGTAGAGGAAAAGTTGGGGCAGAGGGCAAGAAGTATGGATAATTAAGCATACCTCTTGGTCAAAGGTATGGCGAGGTTGTGGTCTGGTTAATCATTATTTCAGATTGGTCAGATGAGGCTTTGTTAGGATAAAATCATTGCTTGGGGGAAGAGGACATGTAGACTTGTCATTAGATGTTTACCGATCAGTCTTGTCTTCCCATTACTGAAATCCAAGGTGAATGCAGGAGGAAATGGCTCAGAGCAAAAAAGACAAAAAAAAAAAAAATGGAGGCAGAGATGCAGTTTATATTCTGCTTTTAGTTAACTTGTGGGCCCAAGTGAGGAGTCAGGGCTTTTTAGCAAAAGCAGTTTCTCAGCACCTATTATACATTTCTGTTGTCTCTTGTGAAGCAGAGAAAAAATATTAGATGAAATTAAAGTCTGATTTTGTGGTTGGAAGACATTGAGGTAAGTCACTTGATGAAGCTATAGAGAAAGGAATCCCTAAAAATATTTCCCAGTAGGCCCCATTTGGGTGTCATCTCACATCAAGGATATTTCCATTATTTTGAGGCACCCAAGGCATTCTTCCGTTCAAGTACTAATCAGGCCTGACCCTGTTTAGCTTCCGATCAGGCGTGTATGGCAACCTGAAACAATTCTGCAACCAGAGTTCAAGATAATAGATAACTGCACAACTCCTTATTCTCGTATCCTTTATTTCCATTAGTGTATATTAATTATACAAAGGAGTTTCAGTTATACTTTCATACATGCATATACTGCTATGATCACATTTATCTCCTGTATTACTCTCATCCCTTTTTTCCCACCTCCCACCTTTAGGCAGGCTAAACTAGGGATTCATAGAAAAAAAATGCCATTACATCTTACATTAACCATACTTTGGCTCAGGAACCACCCTCACCTGGCTGGGAACCACCTATGCCCTTCCCCAACCATTAATTATTCAGTGAGAATCTGATTCTCCCCTTCTCATAAGTTATCATAGGTTTTTAAAGCACCTAAAGAGCAGAAACATGCTCTTTCAGCTTCCGGCTTCCACCTGGGCTCACCATGCTTCCGTTTGTATTTCTCTTCCCTAACTTTTAATAAACTCCCTTTACACCCATGTGTCCTCCCATGGATTCTTCCTGGTGGGATACAAAGGAATTGGAAGTCTTCTGATCACAGACTGAACCAGCGCCGTTTTAACAACCTCATGTTCGTTAAAATAGGTGCTTACAAACCCAATCACTCAACTGAATTTCTAAATACTAAAACTTTGGTTGGATTGTGTATTGATGGAACTAACTGGCATCTGTCCTGAGAGAGAGAACAACAAAAATGCTACCTTGTTGTTGGTCTCCAACAACAAGCTCTGTTATGGCCTGACTGCAGAGCTCTGGCCGTAACAGTTCCTCCAGTCCTCATTTGCCAACCTTCCCCACTGTCCCTCCTCAGTGTTCTTTCCAGAAGAATTTCTATTTTGCTCTTAATGGAAAATAAACTAGGGAAAGGTTTATAAAACTAAAGTAAGAGACCTAAATAGAGGTATAAGACCAAAACAATATTAACTTTAACTAAGAGGAAAGGAAGCACAGAAAAAAAAAAAAGGACTGGCAGAATGGCCCAATTGGTAGAGTGCCCGCTTAGCAAGCCTGAGTTCAAACCTCAGTACTTCCAGAAAAAAAAATGCAAAAACATCATTTCCTTTGCAAATGAGATCTTTAAAATGTGACAATACCAGGCTTTGAATCTCCTTTATAACTCTATCATCCTGACTATGTAACCTTATACTCCCTGGGGAGCCTGGTAGTCCAGGGACACTTGCCACCATAGCATCCAACTCAGAATAGGATTCCTTATCTCACTTAGCAGTGAGTGTGTTGCAAAGACCCAAATCCTCTATCTGTGGATGAAAAGCACTTAAATTTCCCTTTGGAATTGGAGGTTCATGAAAAATTCTAATCTGCTACTGTCCAGTAACCCCTTCCCCTAGACAGGCCTCACTTTCACCAAGCCAGGGTTGGTAGTGCTTCCAGAGGTTTCAAAGCACCAGCTATAAAGTTTGAGCCAGTTTTGGAAGAAAGCATATATTAACATCACAATATTGATACAGGAACATACCTTCCAGCTTCTTTGGTAGCTGTCTAGAGTAAAGACCCCTCCCTCACTCCTGGCCTTTGTCCTCATGCGCTCCTGCCTGAGCTGATGTCAGCTGACTAAGATGCTTCCCCTGGATGGTATCTCTTGCACAGGGTTCACTCCACCTCCTGGACAGCTGAAATTTAAATCTTCCTTAAGAATCCTCAGGAACTGGATAAGATGTGTGTCAATCACACATTTTGCTTTGTAAAATGTAACACTACTCTAGTATACAAAGTCCACAGAAGAAGAATAAATAAGACCCCCTTCAAGAAAAACTTGT